CTATAGGATCAAACTGGGTAATTCTGAGTATTTTTAATAGTTATCACTGCCAACTACTATGCAAATCACCTAGAAATCATGTCTATAGGTTTAACCACTTGTTATCTATAATTTCAACAATCAGCTCGCAATACCAGATTCCCTAAAATGTATAGTTGTTCAGAAATCACGTCTATAAAGGTAGCATCTTGCATCTGAAACTGCCTGTACGTTTGAATCCCAAGGTCACATAAAAACCATGTCTATAGGGCCTAATGGCTTTAATTTGCCTCAATCCTGAAATTGTCTAATGTTTAATGTGAAAATTTATTCGCGTGCATCTGTTGTCAGTGTGGAGGCTAACTTGAGCCCTTAATTGCTTTTACATGAAGTCCAACTTGTTTTGTATGTCGCCTAGTTTTATCATTTCTGAGCAACCTAAGCTAAGTCCAGAAACCATCCAAAATAGANTTCTTTTAATAGCTTCCTTAAAAGAGTTGTCACGTGTCGAAACCCGATTTCGTGAGAAAAAGGGGCGCGACAGTATGACGACTCTGCTGGGGATATTTTTAGGCTCTTACCATAGCGAACTTGGTCTATATGAATTAGTCTTCTTTGATGAATGTGTTTCCTTGTTCTTTATCGTTACATGAATACCCCGCTTCCATTTTCCCTTTTTATGGCTACATGCACACCCTTTCCCCTATTTTCCTCTATTTTGAATTTGTATTAATATGCAAATCTTTGCTTAACTTGGTTACAATGTACGTTTTTCTTTATTTTCTAGTCATGTTCACTTGCTTCAAATCATTTTTTAATTTGCTATATCATGTCTCTCCCTACCCCTACCCCTTGCTTGCTTTATTGCAATTCTTTCACATTGCGCGAACTAACTTCTTCCTTGTTTTCCTTCCTTTTTATGTCTTTAAGCTCCATTTAATACTGCGTTTATTGTCTTTATCATGCAAAATACTTGACAACGTGTTGTTTTATCTTTACATAAGCATGCTCCATATCATATTCCACTCGTGCATAATTAATACCATAGCGGCGCTTGATGAGTGTCCGCGCTCTTCCTAAATCACCCTTTTAAATTTGGAAAGGCTTATTTGCGGTAAAACTAGTCGATCAGCGGTGCAATCGATGGTTCCGTGCCTTCCCCTCTCAAGTTGTCCACTTGAGGGTACCAGTCTAGACTCTTCTAGAAACCCCCACTCTAATATTAACTGTGCATGCATCATGTCTAAACCTAGTATGGGTTAGAACGATATCCGCGTAATAACTCTCTAAGGCAAGCCTGGTCCAAAGCTCGCCGAGATTTCCTTAAATCACAATGGGTACAATCATGACATGTGCATTATTTGGAGAAAACATGCCGATATGCTAATCATTAATATGTAAATAGTCATGTCCGGAGGGGAAAAGGGCTAACTTTATTTGTTTTGCAGAAATGAGGCACGAAGTCCCCAGGTCGGCATGGTCCAAAATATCCCGCCTTTGCTGTTGGATTGGTGGGAAAACCTCTCATCAAGTGACAAAAATCATGTGAAAAGAGTCCTCGGGAATTTATCTTCTTTGTTAGATATTCAGCCAAACAATATGTTAATTGAGGCTGCCACCATATTCTGGGATGAGAAGAGAGCCGTCTTCCGTTTTGGTGACATATAAATGACTCCCTTTCTAGAGGAAATAGGAGGCTTCGCTGGACTCCCATGGGATAGCCATGGTTTGTTGGTATCGGAAAACTGCACTTCCCGAGGTTTCCTAAAAATGATGGGTTTCAGGAAAAATGATGAGTTAGTCTGTCTGAAGAAATCTTACATACCATTCGCTTTCCTTTACGAGCGTTATGGTCACAGTATGTCATATCGCCTTTATCATGATGAGTTTGCCATCACTTCTTTGGGTTGGACTCACCGCCGAGTTTTCGTATTCATTGTCTGCTTTCTAGGGATGCTGGTATTCCCAATACAAGGAGAAAGGATCCACACTCACCTAGCTATGGTCACTAAGACTCTAATGGAAGGAATTGAGGGGCAAACTTACACTATTGTCCCAATGATCGTGACTGAGATGTACCGAGCCTCAGACCGTTGCAAAAAGGGAAATAGGCATTTCGAGGGTTGCAATGTGTTGCTGCAAATATGGTTGTTGGAATAACTTCAGAGAGGACAATACCGTCAAGAATTTCTGCGACGACCATGGAATGACCACATAGCTTATCACCATCCGAAGAGAATGACTTTTATCTCGGACAGGTTTGCACAACCAGGAAACGTTGTAGGCTGGGTGCATTTCCTTAGCAATTTGACTGATGACAAGATACATTGAATGCTCGAGTGGTTCCCTAGCAGCGAATTCATCATCAGGTCGAGAGATGTTCCTCATCTAGTGCTAATTGGATTGAGGGGAATATATCCTTATGCTCCTATCAGAGTCATGAGAGAAGCTGGGAGAAAACAAGTTATACCACGAGTTTCCAAAATGGTTCATTACAAAGCAGACTTCCAAGGGAATGCCATTCCATTCAAGTTTGAGGCACAGCACATGTGGCATCAAAAGATTATTGTGGAGAAAGATACCATCGAGCCAGATCGGTATCATACCGGCCATGTGTACTTTTACCCATCATGGTTGGTCGATGACATAGCGGGAGAGGTCAAGCCAGGGGTTGATTTGAGAAATAGGGTCATAGACAACGCTGCTGAAGCACAAGTCAAATACAGGAGGTTGCGCAAAAGGGTTTTTGAATCTGAGGCCAGATATTTGGAACAACATAAAGTGGAGATGGAAGCAATCAACGAATGGAGGGGAATCGCTACTAAGTCAACAGAGAGGTTGGAGTACTTGGAGCAGGGTTTGATGGAACTTGAGGGAAAGATGAGGAAAAGAATCTCGGATTGTCAAAACGCAGAGGGCAACGAAGGAGGACACCTAGCAAGGGCGTATCTGCTATTGGACATGCGCGACCTGGGGAGTCTGATTAATGGGGCAAAGAAGGCCAAGCTTGGAGAAGGCCCCTCTGGGACCAAGTAGATTAGGAATGATGTTTTACTTATTCTCTAGATTCGTTTTAGATTTCGATTGTAATAAGGCAAATGCCACAAGTGACTCTTTATAATTATTGTCGTTTTAGTAGAGATTTGGTCTATTTACCATATTAATGAAATGACGCAGTTATCAGCATGATTTTTCTCCAAATCTATATGTCGCTAGGCCTACCTCAGGCACAATGAGATCCCGAAATTAGGACTCGAATTTATAATTCCGCAATACGTGTTTAAATACCGCAAATATCCTTTTAATACTCCTTACTGACTTATTTACCTTTTGTTTTTCTTCTTTTCTTTGTTTATTCCCATCTCCTAAGGTTGGTTCGTGCATACTGGCACCATCAGCATATCATACCAGATCTAGAGGTCCTCTACCTCCTCCTCCAATTAAATTTCTCAAGTAAATTCATGCTTGAGAAAATGCGCAAACGATAGGCAAATCGGTAATCCAAGAAGAAGGCCTACCATGAGTGCGAGCCTCCCACTGGCCCTTTGACAAATCACGCCACGCGCGCTCGGTGTATGTTGACGTCGAAACCAGGCTCCTCACCCAGTTCTCGAGGTGGGGAACCGCACCCGGCATCCAAGCAACGGTTGCATCGAGAAAAACGCTGATGAGAAAGGATGAAGAAGTAAAAATAGCGACCGGAAATTAAAAACGGGATCATACTTACGTTTCATATTTCATTTCTCAGGAAATGGCTGCTCTCGGCCGGGATTAGGTCCGAGGTCTTCACCCAAACGAATCGGCCCATCCAGCCCTGATCTTTGTCTTTATCTATACTCGAGATGAACGCCTTGGTGGCCCGACGTTGAAGTTTTATCAACCCACCTCGATAGATTTGAGGGATGTATAATCTTACGAGGTGGTCGAGGGTGAAAGGGAGCCCATCGATTTTACTCACGAAGAAACGGAGCAATATCACGATCCTCTAGAAAGAAGGGTGAATTTGACTGAGGATCACCTGGTATTTCTTGCAGAAATTGACGATGATCGGATCGAGGGGACTCAGTGTGAAAGGATAAGTGTAAACACTCAGATACCCTTCCACGTGGGTAGTGATCGCTTCCTTCGGTGCCGGTATCACAACCTCTTTGTTTTCCCAATTGCAATCTTTCTTCACCAGATCAAGAAGACTTTTGGGTATCGAGCATATATATCTCGATACCGGCTCGCATGGACCAGCAACCGATGAGGATTTCTCGACCTTAAAATCGGAATCAATAACACACACCCCGGGAATAAGTTCCTCAAGGCGTGGCTCCACCACTGGTTTCTCGCCGACCGGCCGATATGAGGAAGCAGTCTCTTTCTGCGAAACGATTTTAGATGCTTTTGCCATTTAGTTTTTGTGAACGAAGAAGAATGGAGATTGAAGTATTTGGTGTTTTAAGAACAAGCAACAAAAATTGAAAAATATGGAAATAGGGAGCTTTGGAGAAGGCGAAAAACTATGAAGATAGGAATGGAAAAGTTTCGAAAATAAAAGTTTGGAGCGATGAAGAAAGGAGCTATTTATTGGTTTCACAATGACGGTTCAAAACTGGTAATGGCCGACCATCAACTGACGCGCATTTAATGCCTTGATAACCAGACCGACGAGACGTTTATCGCATACATCACAATCGGGTTCGTCGCTGACATCATCATCCACCAAGTCGAAGTTCGGAAATTCATATCGTTTCACATCATCTTCTTTCCGAGAAACGAGGGGACTATCTGTATACGATCAAGACCGAGTTTTGCCCTTCGTATGATTAATCGAGATTGGAACATGATAGTTCAAGGTTCATCATTGTAATATCGAGCCATGGTACGAAGAATATGTTGTCGAGCTCAAGAGGGATGATCACATAGTCCACAACCATTCTTAGCAAAATTCAGAGATGTGCTTGCGTGTGCAGGTATATGAGAGAGAGAAAGAGAGAGATTTCATCAAGTGGAACTTGCATTATGACCATCCGATGAAAATGTGAGTCATTGAAAATATGTTTCATCTTTCCTTCATTTTGATACATTGCAGCAAATGAGGGAAAGCAACCAAAATTGGATAGAGCTATTTCACAAGCTATCACTAAACACCTAAAAGAATCAACACACATCATGTACAAACTGCATGCATCCCCTTCCATCAAACAAGACAGAAAACCCTAATGTTACATAACATTTGTAAGACTACGTACGCAGTTGGGTTAAAATAGAAATACAGAGCTCAGTGAAATGGAAGCAAATGCGGACCACCTTGAGATATACCTCCTTTTTCATCACTGGAGCAGCCAAATTGGAGCAATTGCAGAACTTGTGCAGGTTAAGTTGCCACAGAAATATCACACAATTCAAGATGAAATTGGCTCGTATGGATACGATAACCACGGATGCTTTAAAGCCTCTGAGGCAGATGGGCGCTTCTTTGGGTTTACTTCAAGAAGATGAGCCACGAAGTCAATGAATCCCTGATCCCCCATTGGTAACCGATGCCTCAAGGATGTCTTTTTCGGTATCAAGTATTCCAATCTGTTTGTTTCCTGAAAAAGAAAACGAATTCAATAGATAATCAAGAATGAATATTAGCAAGCAGCAGACAGACAGAGCAACATTAACATTCAGAGCGACACAACAACGGAGAACACACAACAACGGAGCCCTCTTATAATGGGAGAATCTTTTGTATGTCCAATTCACCATTCACCGACTCATACAGAGAATAAAGAATTTGAAGACTCTGGAAGAGTAATATATGCTGTCCCAGACTTGTCCATCTAATCATCAAGTCAATTTGTAGCAAGACACACTTTGCCTTTAATAAAACAAAAGGTTTTGATCTTCAGAAGGGGATTAGTCAGAGGATTTATGACATAGTAAATCGCGGAGCCACCCCCCCCCCCCCCTTCAACAAAGGAGAGGAAATTTACCTGATTTCGTTCATACAGCATGTGATTTTTGGTGAAATACTTATAAGTATCTCGTCCTTTGACAAGCATATCTTGGTCAATGGGGCTTATAATACCAATCACCCTAGCGAGTAAAGTGGCAGGAGAGTCATTTTGAAAAAGTACCTGCACACATGAAAAGTAACTCTAAACGCCCCATTTGAAGTCCCATTTGAAGCAATATCGCAATCAGAAGAATACACTAAAGTAACTAGTATGCATTGTATGAGCATCAAATAAAACAAGTATTCATGACAAGCACACTTGAAAACTGCAAGCTTCATTTCTAATCACTTATTAGCGAAGGATGTATGAGCAGTAAGTTGACTATTGGTCATTAGCTCTTTGTTTAACTTTTGTTCTGTCCATTGGATAGTTGCATATTAGTAACTCAAGATGGATTTGGCTCTCAGCAAACTACCACGTGTCTAACTAGTATCACATACTAAAGTCGATTGACTACTCCTGCCTGTCAAACAATATGCAAATGTTATAATTGTCACCAATATTCCACGTCTACCGGAGAGAATATATACTTGAATGAAATATTAATTCGTAACAGATGAGTTGTCTCCATCTAATTGCGCTACATATGCAACTTTAATAGGTTTGCTTCATCCTTACACTTAAAAAGAATGTCACCCAGCACAACCAATGTCACATTTAAAAACCATAGTACATGCATTGTAGTACAACTGGTATAGTAAAACATGGGGACGAATACTGATCTTTTTAAAAAACAATGGGACTTTGACATAATACATTAGAGAAGATGGGTGGCTTAACGCCACCAGAAACGTTCTTAGATATTAGGGTGAACACGACAGAGATCATTAAGGTTTCCAACAGTTTTGGTGCCAAATCTAACTCCAAAACATCGTGTAATCTGTCGCATTTCTCGGATATCAACTCTTGTAACTCTTAAAAATGCGAGGACAGAGGGCAAGGGATTGAAATAAAAAGGGAACACATGCTTACGAACACTTGTAATGCCTTGTATGACGGGTAAAAGATCCCTAATCAGAATCATAATTTCATTACTTATAAAGAGCTAATAATCAGAAAATGCTTAAAGAAGGAACCTACATTGCCGGTGCAAAGTTCCGCTAGGATGCAGCCAAGTGACCAAATATCGATCTTTTTATCATATGGAAGTCCCAAAATAACTTCAGGTGCACGGTAGGATCTGGATTGGACATAGGAACAAAGATGATCTGTTTCAAAACAACTGCTTCCCAGATCAATCACCTTCACTTCACATCTACTGTAGCTTTTCACCAATATGTTCTCGGGCTTCAAATCACAGTGTATAAGCCCAAGGCCATGCAAAAACTGAAGAGCCTCCAAACATTGAATGGTGATTGACTGCACAAGAGATCAGTATTAAAGACAGAAGAGAAGCATCATCGATGATATAAAATCTTTATGGATATAGCCATGCAACAAACCTGCAGTCTTGGCATCGTAAAATAGACTTCTCCTCCAGATTCTCTATTAAATTTATGGAATTCATAAAGATTTGCCTTCAGGAGTTCACATACAATTAACAAATGCTCCTGATAACAAATATAAGGATCAGTGCCGAATAACATGTCACAGTACAAAAGTTTCTTCAGCTTATCATTCAAAATTATACATAAAGGAGTTCCCTTACTTATATGATTTTGCTTTCGAAACAGATAAGACAGTGGCCCAGCATAGATCACAGACACAATGGAACTTAGCATTTAGAAGGACTTCTGAAGGTTGGGAAGTAACAAGGATGGTTCAGTTTTAGGGAATTTGGACGGGGCCGTTAATTTTCAAGAAATTCCAGATAAACTGAAGCGGCGACACCAGAAGGACAGTACGAATTATGTAAAATCTGGCCACAAACTACTTTCATCTGTTAAGCACAGTTGTAAGTGGCCTTGGAGGTTCATTAGGGAAAAAGTCAAGCTCCTCCTAAGGCTGTTGGATTTTGTTGCATTGCAGACCATGAGCTTGGCTGACTCATTCTGATCTGCAGTGAAGGGGATTCACTATACGAAATAGATGCTTTATATGTGAGTCAGAAGCCAAAGATGTTAATCATCTTTAGCTACACTGTAAAGTGGCCAAACAACTTTAAGACATGTTTTTCAATTTATATGGTCTTGGTTGGGTAGTTCTTAGAACAGTGAGTGACATGCTAGCAGGCTGGTCGGATAGAAATTTAATCAAAGAACAATTCACCTTTCCAGCCCGCATCTTTTGGATGGTATAGTAGAAAAGAAAACAGAGGTGCTTCAAGGACTAGCCTGAATCTATGCAAATGTTCATTTACATGGGTTGGTACTTTTCGGTATTTGTATAACATGTTGATTGTATATGACTTAGAACTTTGTTAGATTTCCTTTGACTTCCTAAAACAAAAGGGAGATTGAGATTTTGAATTGTACATATCCAAGCCCCATCTTTGAGATGATTTTTTTTTCCAGCGTATTTGTACTGATTTAAATGAAATGAATAGAATCTTATCTTTGGTTGTTTATATAATCGGAAAATCTCCAGCTTTTTATGAAGAATCAGAAGATCTGCACTTAAAAATAAAAACATTATTCAGAAAACCAAGGTAGGAAAAGCTAAGGTGGGTGATGCCAGCATCGGTCAAAGATGTTACGTTCAGCTGGGCATTCAGACATCGGAAAGAAGATGCTGAACCCAGGGTGTGGTTCCTCTAGCACTAATGTGGGTTCTAAGAGAAAAAAATAGGGGAGCTTTTGAAGATATGGGAAAAATTTTGTCCAAATTAGGGAATTTTTTTTTGTTTTTATATAAATAATTTTATCTGAGTTATATGATTCAGAGATTTTGTAGAGAATCATGTTTTGTGTCGGTTTTTACTCACTGTAAACAGCTTGTATACCAGGGCAGTCACAACACATGAATGAAGTATTAGTTTATCAAAAAAAAAAGTTTTTACTTACTCGATAATAAAAGTAATCATACAACCGAAGTAGATGGTACTTGTCAGCAGGATCATGCTTGTTGACATACTTGAGAAGCTTTATTTCATCAAGGCTCTGGTCAAAGAAATCTTTGTTGTTCTTTATGATCTTTACACAAACATCCATGCCAGTGTGAAGATCGTGTGCTTGGATAGCTTTGCTAAATGCAGCAGATCCAAGATACTCAGTAACTTGATATCGCCCCGCTAAAACTGAATTTAAAACGACATGGAAATTCTTGTCCTCCTCAAAGCCAGTTCTGATCCAAAAGATAAATCCAATTAACAAAAGACGCCAATTCTAAACATAAAACTAGACCAGATGAGGAAAATTCATGACAGAAATTCTTGAATGGCAAGCATATTAATCATATTAAAATTTTGTTATGGGTCTTAATCATTCAAATCTATTCAAACCCATTGAGTTGTTGTGAAAAAATAAATGGTTGAGATCTGAATGATTAAGACTTCAATCTAAAAAACAAATTCACTTAATGAATGAGATCTGGATGATTCAGATTTAGACCTTCCTCAAGTGCATCCAAATGAGTCCTAAAACTGATTCAGCATCATTTATATCTTCCAATATACACCATGAGCAAAATTAAAGTATACATTTAGACTTTATCTTAATATAGAATCAGCTGAGTCATTCAGTCCAAATAGTCCACCAAATGCCTGCAGGTACCAAATTCCACCACATATTCTTCTTCTTTCTTTGATAAATTCTGTTCCAGAATCTCAGCAACTCAGTTGTTGAACTAGCCATGACAAAGGGGGGTTTTCCTTTTTTCAATAAGTACATCTTCAATTATTAAGCAAGCTTGATCACTGTCAAGCATGAAATATAAGTTCAGTAGGCACTAATGCCTAGCATCCTTACAGCAAGAAATCTTAGCAAGGATTGTGGACTACTACACTTAGTTTAAGGACATGTATATTTGAGCTCCCTCTTAGCTCTAAAATAAACTGATTTTCCTTAAAAGAAGAATATAAAGATATATATATATAATATGAGTATGTGTGCATATAAGCTACATCTTCAGAGCAACATATGATGTTCTTTTTTGTTCCTTGTCAAAATGATGTTCTTTTTTGTTCTTCTGTTATAAAAATGTTTGATTCATCTAAATAAGGATATATAAAATCCACATGCATAAACAAGATCCAAGCAGAATTTAGACTATTAAAAGGGAAAACGTCGTCACAGGTACACCTTCGCCAGAATGACCAGCTGCCACTTTCCAAAGAAAGAGTACCAACTACTGACCTTAGATAGAGCTGTGGACAAGTTCCCAATTTACTTGGCAGAACTTCAATTTTGCGACACAGTGCTTTTTTTCAAATGCATCACAATTAACAGTCTCGGCCTTATTATAGCTTAAGTTTATAGATACAAAACCAGCATATTTGTTTTTATGAGTTAAAAAACCAGCTAAGTGCATCGAAATATGAAGATTCTCATTGCAAGTAACTAGCTATTTCCTCTGACTAGAACAATTGCAAAGGAAAAGTATTAAAATCAGCTAAAGCGGATTATGTCCTACTCTGAATCATAATAGCCAATAGGAGATTGAACATGCCTGTTTTTTCTATGCACAATCTTAAGATCAAAGGTTTCAAATTCCTCCTCCTGTGCCTTGATCTGCCTCACTTGCTCCTGCACTGCAGTAGCTTCCTCATCCTCCAGTGACGCCCCTACATCTTCTTCTCTTGCACTGGCTATTTTTGTCTCCTCTTCTTTCTTCACATCCTCTCGGTCAGCATAGCCATAATTTGAAAAAGATGAAGGACTAGAATTTTCTGATCCTGCAGCATTTGCATTGCTTTCATCTCTTGAGCTCTTGACAGGTGAAGACTCACTGCTTTTGCGCCTCCATGGAGCAAGCATGTCATCATTTGCCACCAGAGAATCATCAGCTTCATCACTGACAACAGTGTTGCACTTGTTTGACCATAAAGATTTACTCGAGCTTGTTTGAACTAACTGCCCATCTCTAGGAGGGGGAAATGAGAATCCTCCATCTAAGTGATTCATTTTCTGCACCAAACTTCCTTTGTCAACCCCAGTAACAAACTTGTCAGAACTATGTTTAGCTGCTTTCTTTTCTCTCTTTGATCTCTCTGAATAAGGCTTATCTGAAATGGGTGGTAGGTGTCTGGACCCACCAATACTGGTATCATGATCGTGGAAGTAATCAACATCCCCCTCACTACTCCCTCCAACCAAGCTTTCACGCACTTCGCTTCCAATATCAGCAGTATCACTGTTAATCCCCACACCAATAGACCGAACTGAACCATGTTGATCATCGTCCATGCAAATATCATCCGGCCGAGGCCTTCCACACTCATTCAGGACTTTACCATCCCCCAACATGACAAGTTCATTTGTTTGAGTAACAAAGCCCCGCCAAACTGGCTCTGCTCGCATCAAACTTAGTTCTTCTTCATCCATCAACTGTCCATCATATTGGGCAATCAAATCATTCGCATTAGTTCTCCTGTACATTTCAGGTACTGATAGCCCTATGTGATCATCTGCGGGCCTAACTGGATCAACATCTTTTGATTGGAAATATCGCTCACCTGAGAAGCAGGAATCCTCTTCTGCAAAAGATTGTTCATCATCCTCTTCTCGGTTTTGCCCTCTTTGAGGATCTGGAACACTCCCATGCCCTGTTCCCTTCTCATTATCACTGGGGTAATCAATTTCATGCGCTAAAAACCAAGCCTCATCTTCAATAGGTTGTCTTGTGTAGCCAACATCCTCATCGTCATCATACTCATCGGAGTCCCAATATTCATTGGGGTAATCAATAGATTCACTCAGTCCATCACCAATTGTTGCAAAACCAGAAACCAGATCAGAAGTGTCCTCAGCAATGCCTTGACTTACAGACAGCCAACTACCTCCTGCCGGCCTTTTTCCACCTGACATTCAGTAAAGAAATGGTGATTACTGCACAAGCCATGAACAAGAAGATTCTAGAAACTACCTGTAATGGAAACTTAAATATGATAAGAGAGACAATCAATGGTCTAAGAACAGTTCATATCTAGAAGCTCCCGCTGTAATGTCTTTATTTGAGGAGGCAGTAAAAGAACAGGTTTTACATGCTTCACATGAACGCATAACCAGCATAAACATGACTCTGATATCAACTGTATTATTTTAAAGTATGAATTATAAAAACATGCAGAGTTGTACGTTCATAATACAACTTGTTTTCTTGAAGTTTTACCATTTATCCTATGGACTATGAAGTAGCGATTCCCCTTGAAGTATCCCATAACTTGTTTTTGAAGCCTGCTCCCTCACACACCAATCATAGGATTTTATACTAGTTTTTTTTTTTGTTATAGGAGAATAAGTAAGCATCCCGAGGACTCAACAATTAAAACTAGTTATTTTTGGTTATAGGAGAATAAGTAAGCATCCCGGGGACTTAACAGTTAATGCCATTTATCTTGTGATACAGTTCTACAATACATTGGTTAGCGACAATGATCAGTTATCAAACATATCCAGATTGATGACTTGTATGCAAAGTTTATACCCTTTAAACTGCATTTTCTTTTTCTTTGATAACCAAAAAACAGTTCTTGGAGCCATATTTTTTATTACTTCACAACATTCTGAGAGTACAAATTTCTGGTCCAAGAAATTCTGGACCATCTGTCATTTCTTCTATGATAAAGATATTGATCTCCATGCACCCAAGGGTGTGGCCTAGTGGTCAATGAAGTGGGTGAGAACCATGAGGTCTCAGGTTCAAATCCCAGCGGAGTCAAATACTAGGTGATTTCTTCCCATCTATCCAAGTCTTGGTGGATAGAGTTACCCGATACTTGTTGTTGGTGGGAGGTGGCAGGTATCCCGTGGAATTAGTCGAGGTGCGCGCAAGCTGGCCCGGACAACACGGTTATAAAAAAAAAAAAAAAGATATTGATCTCCATTTACTCATTTGAAGCAGGAAAAGACCCAGGATTTTATACAAGGGCATTCAAAAATGTTACACATGGGATTTGAACATGTAACCTAAAACAATTTTTGAACCCCCTTTGCCACTTTACAAGAATTTTCCCTCATATATATATATATATATATATATAAAGGAAAAAAAATAGTTTTTATCCTATTTGCACAATATAATTTTTCAAGCTAGCTCCACCCCTGGTCCCAAGACTCTGAAAAGCCATGATTTCAGCAAAGCTAATGAGAACCCTACATTGGGGAAATAATGCCAATGGGACTGTACTCAAATCGGTTAGGAAGAACTACATGCTCCAGAACAGTGCACCTGGAGGTTAAAGTGCAAGCTGAACGCCACAGGCTAAATTTATTTTCCTCTAAAAGTACAAGCTAAAGTTGATCATCAAAGAAGCAAACCTGAACCAGTAAGATCTTGTCCAATAGGAACATCAAGAAATGAACCTATGAAATATGTATCATCAGCGTTACTAATCCTTGAGGCAGGTCCACCTCGTTCAAACTTTTCCTCCCAAGGAATACTGAAGGACTTCTCTTCTGATTTCAATCTAACAGGTGGCAACCTAGGGAATCCTTCTTTCTGGCTTTCAGAAACAAATGAAAAGCCTAAGCCGCTGAAATCTTTTGGTTCAATTCCTTGTGTCTTCCCAAGAAACAAAGCTCTTCCCACCTCATCCACTTGTTCTTTTATTGCTGCCCTAACATCACTAACCTCTGTTTTCCGCTTTCCTTCTTTCTTATCAGTACTACTGATGTCATGATCATAACTTGTCGAGACATCTCCTTTTGGAAATGGGAAAACAGTTTTAACTGTGCAGTCTTTCCAAGGCTCAGATGAAGGGTGCATAAATTCATCACTTTTCGACCAAGGGTTATTAATTATTGCATCTTTGGAGCATGCCCCACTTAGCTTAATTTGGTGATCAACCTCCTTGAGCTCAATAGTTCGACTATTGTCATGCTTAGGTTCCACAGTGTCTTTGCTAGTACTTCCAGGCCAAGAAGTTCTCTTTTCACTAAAGCTGACATCCTCCTCATATTTTGCATGAGTCTTACTACTATCAAAGACCTCGGAAGAATTTAACTTTGACTTCCCAGAACGCACCAAACCGGAGAGGTCAATGGTACCAGTAGTTCCACCATCATTCTGATAAGAAGTAACCGGACCGTTAACAGGAGTGTATTTCCACGAATACAAATCGATAGTATCTTCCGAACTGTTGGCAAAACTGAAATTTTTGTCACTTGTCCCAACAGATTCATTAACTTTCTTCTGCTCTTGGACATTTTTCCAGTTGCAGTCCGAGCCATTTCTCCCAGTGCCACACTCTATCTCCTTAACAATAAGCTCCTTGGATATTTCACCGCTGCTCCTAGAACTCGTCTCCTTGTAAACATCTTCACTACTCGGAAAAGTTGTCCCCGGAGTCTCCGTGGTTGCTTTCCCTCTATTTGCTCCTTCTGATGATTGGCTCAACTCTTTGTCCTCAATGGTAAGCTTCTGAAGAACACCATTCAGATCAGGACGATTATTCAGCTCGTTCCGCAAAGCGGCCTCGGCCCTTGTAAATTTGTTTTTCCGTAGAAATTCCAGTATTACATCTACTGAGTTTGAGTCCCCCATTTATATTACGGCGAACTAAGAAATTTCACAACGTTCTACTACTACAATGAAAATTCCGCCAAACCTGAAAAATAAAAGAGAATTAATGAAAAATGCTGTGCCAAAAAGGTAATTTGCTATTTTGCGGATCCCAATAAAAAAATCAAAACGTTAATCAATAAATCATTTCAAAAACGAACTTTATTTCTAGGGATTTCCCACATTCTCTGGGCAATCAAATACCAAAACCCTAGCTAGATTTCGCACCCTCCGATTCAAAGATCTTCACTTTTTTTCAAACCCTAGAAAGCAACAGTTACTAAAAATTGCAATAATAAAATATAAAATAAAAAACAACCACAAGAATAACAGAGACGAATTGAAAAGAGTGAAAATGAGAACTCACAGATCGAAGGTGAACGATACGACCCAATTAATTCCATGGGCAGCATCCACAGAAGGGAAGAAATGACAAAACTCAGAATACTTCGTAATCAAACATCACATTCAACTTCACACCTAGCTGAAATAGTGGTGCTAAGCAAATGACAGCGTTTTGATTTTGAATATTTCTTCCCTTTTTGTTTTGTTGTTTTTTATTTTTTCCCCCTTAGCTCTTGTGATTTGTGATTCTTTCTTTGTTCGCTGTTTGGTGGGGTGGCTCTGAGGGGGAACTGATTTTTTTCGGGTTTGGGTTTGGTTTAATTTCTCTTTCGCTTGGCCTGCAAAAAATTATGGGGTCATATTGGTATGTATCCAATTAAATAATTCTATCAAATCAAAACAAAAAAAAAATAGATATGTACTAATTGAATTTAATATTTAAGGGCATGGCCATATGGGCATGGTAGTTGCATTAACTTTTAGCCGTTGATTCATCATAATTTTCACAGAAAATGATCAACGGCTAAGTGGTTTAATTGCTGCATTTGCAATAATTTAAAAATATTTCTCTATCCGTTCACTTTTAATTGTTCACTTTGAACTTTTCACACCCCTTAACAAACAATAAATGAAATATGTATTTTACAATTTTACCTATAATAATGATAGCATATCCAAAAGTATTGGGAAATAATTTGGGAATGAGTAGTTAATGATAAAGGTAAAAAAAGAAAAAAAAATTGTTTTTCTCTTGATTTAATATAGTGGACAAGTAAAATAAAAATATATGATTAATATGGTGGACAACTAAAAGTAAACGAAAGAAATAAATAGAATTTTATTAGTTTGGTGATTCGTATTCCACAAATATGGGTTCGTGTGGCTGGCTTATATACTTTATTTATGCTGCCGAAACCCCTCTGACTATTGCACCTAAAACTTATGTTCACATAATTTTGTTTCAACAAAATTGTTCCTTTGTTCTACAAGCTAGGTAGCTGCGCTTTTGGAATTTGCTATATAAGGTTGTAACTACGTTAGGCATTAACTATCCTACGAATATTATGATTTTGTACTTGCTGCGTAGTACTCTACGAATTAATACCAGTTCTTTAAGTAAACCACTTTTTGAGTGCTTCATGTCGAATTGGTCCTACGCACTCTTATGTATAGTGTATTAATCATTGCTCGGACTTACTGGCATGGAATGTCATGAAATATGATTGTAGCTCATTAAATTTAAGGTTTCTATTGATACTTGTTGGCTATAACTTTTTTCCTGTATAACTATAAAACGATTCATCTATACTTCTATCATGTGGCCGACTTATTAAAGGGTGTCAACCGACACTCTTTTGTCGGAAAAATTACATTGTGTAGTTAGGTAATTTTTTTATAAAATATGTATATATACTATGTATTGACACTCATTGATTTCTTGATGAGTTTATTTTTTTATATTTTGACCCCCTTGTTAAAAATCATGGCTCTGTCACTGCTTCTATCTGTATTTCATAAAACCAAAGTCATTCATCAATCAGCACCCCTCAATATTATTGTTTTCAAATGTTGACGGATGATTGCGGTGCCTACACCTAAACAATTTGGAAAGTTAATCTCAATGTTTCGAAAGAATATATGAAAGATAGAAGTGCAAGTCAAGTGTCGAAATAAGAAGAAGAAGATAGTTCGGGATATATAGTTTGGTTATGTCACATGTTGGCCCCTAGATGTATTGATCCGTAAAATATGAAACCATGGCGATCAAAAGTTTCTAAAGGGAACGAGATAAATCTAAAATCACATATTAAAAAGTTATCTCGAATGGCCTAAAATCTAATGTGCATAATTAAAAACATTTCCCTTCTAATGGTCGATGGTTAAAAAAAATTCTTTCTAATGGTGTATGATTAGGAGACAACAACAACAACAACCCAGTGAAATTCCACTAGTGGGGTATGGGGAGGGTAATGTGTACGTAGACTTTACCCTTACCCCGAAGATGCAGAGAGGCTTTATGGTTAGGAGAAAATTCCAATTTATAACGTTTCTCAAACATGATGTTTGGTTAGAAAAAGTTCCGATATTTTCTTTAAATAATTAAAAATATATATTTAAAAGATCACTTGTTTTTTTTTTATACAGCCCACTGGTCCACCAAACAATATAGTGAGCTCTTAACATGATTTGATACGGCACCACTACAAAAACGTATTGTTCACTACTTCATAGTCCAGACTCCAGACGTCGCTAATTGGCTAATTGATGTATCTCAATTTTTAGGTTGCGCTCGTAAATTAGTAGTAAATCGTAAAGTAACTTCTCTCCCAAGGAAAAAAAGTATTTTTGAAGAGAAGTAGAAATAATTTTTGAGAAGAAGAAAAAAGTAATTTTTTTCCGAAAGCACATTTTTGAAAAATATTTTTGAGAAAAATACACTTAGAAACACTTTTTAAAAGTACTTTTCAAATTAAATAGCCAAAAATAAATTGCTTCTCACCAAAAAATGTTTTTTGAGAAAAGCACTTATCAAAATAAGTAGATTTTAGAAGATTGGCAAACAGATTGCCGGTGTAGTTGGGCCCTCGATTTCACATAGCAAGCTGCAGACTGAATGAATTAAGCATTTCTGGATTGGGCTAGGGTGCAACCACACAGAAAATGGGCCCTTCTTTTACTATGTTCCTCGGGTGATTTGCAAGAATGCCCTTGGAAATAGGTGATCTTGACTTTTTAACCACGCTTCCCTCGTGGACAGAACTTCATATTTAACTAGCGTTATCCCGCTTGCCCATGGGTGATCTTGATTTTTGACCTCGTTTGCCTCAAAGGTTTTGCCCATGTAGCAAGCGAAGTTAAAAAATCAAAATCATCAATTTTCAAGATCATTGGATGTAATTTTCCGATGTTCCCCGGAAATATTCTCTCTACTTTCTCAAGTAAAGTATGCATACATACTAATTTGTCCAAACTTCACTTATAAAATTATACTGAATTTCCTTTTTGTTGTTGTTCCCCAACAAACAAAATAAGGGTCGATGCCGGACCGGCTTATATCGATAAATAAATGTAACCGCACGTTGTCAAGTTATTCAATCACGGGCAAGTGCTTTTGTTCATATGACATGGTGAGATCATTCAAAATGTACTCTCTTTCGTTTCCATTCATATGTAATTTTAAGAAGGAAAGAGAAGATTTTTAAAATTTATAATCTTATATCATAACATTTAATTTGTGATTATAAGGCTTTTAAACTTATGACTTAAACTTGTTATTGTTTACCCGTAAAACGATACAGTTGAATTTATACGTGGTTTCTAGATAAGTGAACTAATTTGATCCTGAAATAATACAATAATTGAAGAAATGTACAATACTTAGCCTTAAAATGTAGATGAAACAGCAGAGATGACAGTTCCGGGAACAAGGTTTCCGGGCATAGTACTGATGAGATCAAAAAGCGGAAAAGTAAGATTATATAATATAGTATAAGTTTAGTCAGAAATTCGTATCCTTTACAATGATAACTAGGCTCACTATTTATAGTTGTGTCTAGGGAAGGAGGTCCTAGGATCGTGCCCTCATTTAATGTCAATTATGAGGGTCATTGATGAATATGTAACGGTGAACATAAATACTAAATTCTCTGTAACGGGTCGTCGCTCTTAATGGTGCAGAATATTCCTTATCAAATGCTACCGAGCGCAGAGCATTTAATACACTTTTATGAACGTTATCCCTTACGACGACAAGCGGAATGACTGCGTTCGGTCTTCGGTCATCCCCGTCTTGGGTTCCACGGGTCTTTCCTTTAGATGACCACGTGTCATTTCATATTTCACTCTATACAGATAGTCCCCCTGCTTTCCTATGACATAACTTTGTGTTATCGAGAAGTTGGTAGAAACACTCTTTTGGCGGGAATTACTATAACTTCCTCTGAAGGCTTCTAACAGTTGATTAGATGCACGTCTCTCCGCATTTAATCCCCCGAACACGTGTCATCCCACGATTTAACACAATATTTTTTCAATTATCGAGGTAATCATGACCATGAATTTAGCCGCAAAAATTTTACTTATACGCATCATTCTTTTCCTTTGCACTTCATAATTTCTCGAGCTTCTGATTTGTATCTTTGTTCTCTATCCTTTCTCTTATTCTCTTCAAACAAAAACCCTTTCCTTCTTCTTATTCAGTGGTTTCTTCCTCCAAGCGTGCCGGTTCTTCAAAGAACAAGAACAAAGCCAAGGACTCTGCTCCTCCAACGGTGGGTTCCATCATCCTTAGAAGTCTTATTATCACAAAAGACTTTGAAGAGAAATTTCCTACTGATAATTCTCGTACATGGGCCGTTAGCAGGTATCCTTCTTCCATACATCCTTCGAGCATTCCTGCTATGAAAGAAGACTGTTGCTTCCATGACTTGGAAATTATGTTCCCGATATGTCGGAGCGAGTTACCCTTCCCAAGGAGGGTTTTACTTATGTTTACATGTATCCCTTTACTTTGAGTACGTTTTCTTTTAGTGTGGAGCTTGATTCCGTGATTGTGGAGTTTTGCCTCCGCTACCAAGTGTGTTTGGCACAAGTAAGTTCTTTTGTGTGGATGACGGTTGCTTGCCTTCGGTGTTTGTTCCAGAAAACCGGAGATGAGCTAACCTTAGCTCATATGATGAATCTCTATTCTCCCAAAATCTTCCGCGAGGGAATGATAAACCTCTGCAAGCATGGCCACCATGCTTTGCTATCTAGCATGGATGATGACAACGACCATGGGTGAATGGAACAGTTCGTTGTAGTCGCCACCAACGACATCATTCCAGCAACGGCTTCATCTTTTTCGATCGCTTGGAACCGCACTCGTAAGCTCTTTGTTTAGTATTTCTTTTTACTAAATATTTTTCTATAGCTGTATTGATCCTCCATCCTTCGTTTGTTTCAGCAACTTGATGAATCCCACCGGTGATCGAAGGTTTCGACTGGTGGGTATAAAAGATCTTGGACGTTACGACGCCCGAGACTCGCTTGTAGAAAGAACTAGCCCCTAAATATGGGTGGAAGGCCAAGAATCATGGTAACTCGAACTCGACTTGTTTCAAATTTTCATGTAAAGAATTTGATTGATCTCTTCTAACCTGTCTATGAAATTAGGTCTACCCACGGGGCACTGTTGTCGTTCCTGAGGAGGATGTCTTGGTTGATCCTGCTGATGCAGCGAGGATGCTTGAGGAGGAGCTTACTCGAATAGGTGTCTCCGGGCCTGCTTCAAGATCAAAAGCTTCTTTACGGAGTCCCCGGCTGGAGGACAAACAACCGAAGAGAAGACGCTC